TGGGATGGGAATTTAAGTGAGCTAATAAGCATCTTGCCAAATCTTTGTAGTCTGTTTGAGAGGACAGTTGGGGCATATACCTATGAATGGTGAGTTTTGAGTAATGACTAGATAAGGTATAGTCCCAGCGAGACTGGCCAGGTGAATGGACTTGTCAGCAGAGCAGGGTGAGATGCTTTTTCAGTGCTCCCAGTTTTTTGAGGTACACTTTGTAGCAAGAAGATTGACCTATGAGAAAAATAATTCTAAAAATGGAGAAAAATATATCTGGTGAGTACGTGGGCAAGTCAACCAGCCCAGGGGTTTCACTGGCCATTTTGGTTCAGTTGGAACCAGTAGGTCAGTTTATCTATCTCGTGGATACTTTGGGTTCCAAGAATAACCTTTGTTGAGAAATTATTATTCTTCCCCTTAGTTGATAACAAGGTAAACTGCCGAGATTATGGCTTCTTTTGAACTGCAATTCCATTCAAGTTCAAAGGATTTTTTTTTTTTTTTTGTGGTACGCACCCGTAGCGGGAACAGAACCCAGAACTCTCTAGTCCGCAGGCCGACGCTCAACCACTGAGCCAAACTGGCCAGGGCCAAAGGATTTTCTTTTTTAATATTCTTTTTAAATTTATCTTCAGATAGAGAGTGGGAGGAGGAAGAGAGACAGAGAAACATCAATGCAAGGGAGACACATCGGTTGGCTGCCTCCCGCTCGACCCCAACTGAGGCCAAGGATCAAATTGCAACCCAGGTACTGCCCTTGATCAGAACCGAACTCTGTCTGCGGGCCCACGTTCTAACTGCTGAGCCTAAACTGGCCAGGGCAAGTTCAAAGGTTTTTACTCAGGTTTTACAAAAAGCAGTTTTATTTGGAAAAGCGTAATTCACATAAACCCCTTTCTGCCTCAAGCTATATTCAAGACCAAGTTTACAGCTTTGGATATACCATTAACTATTACCAATTCACAATAATAGATAATTATTCCTAATTTTTTTTCTCAGAGATGGGTAAGCTTGGAGATTTCTAGTTTTCCCACTTATGCCAAAAGTGCAAATCAAGTGAACAAACTTTCACTATGTCTAGGTCAAATGAAGGCGACATTTTCTGGACCTTTCCCACACTGTTTTCCTTAGTAGAGTGATGAGAGACGGTCTGTTTGCCTGTCACGTTGTTTACTATTTTTTTTTTTTTTACATGTGATATAAATCTGCTACTCTAGACTTCTGGAATTTTGTTCTGTTTTTGTCAGTAGTCAGAAGTTGAATACTGATGGATTCAGAAAAAAGGAACAAGAGAGTAAGAACTACGATGTGAAAAATCAGGGCTAAATGAAAGAGAACTCGGTGCCCTTTTTAAAAAAAATTTTTTTTCTTTTTATTGATTTTAGAGAGAGAGAGTGAGAGATAGAAACACTGATGAAAAAGAACATTGCTTGGCCACCCCCTGCATGCCCCTCACTGGGAATTTGGCCTACAACCTGGGCATGTGCCCTGACCGGGAATCGAACCAGCAACCTCTTGGTGCATGGGTTGACGAGCCACTTCTTTAAACTAGGAAAATATCTTTTATTTTTAATGACATTTGTTGAGTACTCATATGCTAGATATGTTATATACGTATATTATCTTATTTAATCTACATTCTTTTGAGAGGTAGAAACAACTCTCTTCCTTCATTTTTCAGACAAGACCCCAAAGATTAAACAATTTATTTTTACCCAGATTCAACTCTAAAGCACTTCCTATTGTACGAGCTGCTAATTTAGGCTTAAGAGTTAGGATTTACTCTGTGAATTCCTGGTGAGTTGGTATTAACTTTCTTGGAACTTGCTTTCTTTCTCTCTACAAGTTCTCTGTGTGCAGCTAGTTTGGTTTGTAATGAATACTTTCACCTTGATGATTTTTCACACCATTAAGCTGTGGAGGTGCAGAAAAGCAGGAGGGTAGGTTAAAAGAAGGTACATTGTGTCAACTACAGATATTCAAAAGAAAGCTCAAAGAAAAGTACCTGAGCATCAAGGAGCATGGCAAGCATGGACTGGAGATTATGTGGGTGGGACCTGGTGACATGTCTTGAAACAAAAACATCATCTAACCTCAAAGCGTTATTGTGCCTGAGTGTGTGTGTCTGTCCCAAGGACTAGGGATTGTGCTAGATGGTACAGTGATGATTCAGTTTCAGTTGTTTTAGGGCCTTATAACATTTCCAATTAAATGGTAGAGAGATAGTTATAGGAAGGACACAATAATTATTGACATAGCAGAGCTAATGAGATGACATGACATAAAAAAGAAGCATCATTATCGCAGCATTTCCATCCCATTTATATAGTACCCTTTTCTCCGAAGGTGCTGTACAAATAACATTGAGATAATAAGCCATTTTAAAATGTCAAAACACTGAAGAATAAGAAAGTGATTTAGAGAAATAAGTACACAGAAAAGAAGTAGTAGAGGCTTTAGATCACTGATCTGCACAGCAGGGTTGTGATTCTTCCATTGTACTCATCTTTGCTGCTGTAAATGGGTAGAGACTTGACATGGAGGCCTTTTCCTGGGCCAGTCTAGTGTTCTTCTTTCCTGCATCCTGTGATTGAAGACCATGGGTTTTGGTGTCAGAAGGACCTGAATTTAAATCCTGATCCTGCTACTTACTGTTAACGTGGAACAAATTACCTAAACTTTCTGAGCCACAGTTTCTTCATCAATAAAGTTAACCCTTGTTAAGGTTGTTTCTAGGATTAAAGTAAGTAAGTTATATACCTAAAAATTTTGGCTTAGTGCCTGGCCACATGGTGAATGTAACATAAATGCTACTTATTCCGATGCTCGTAATATCCCAAAACAGTAGTTCTGATAAGGTTATAGAGCATAATAGCAGTATCTCTGTGGTTCAAAAGAAAAAGTAATGTGGAGTTGTCAGGCTCTTCTGTTCCTTCTCTGAATTGACGTAATAAAATATCTGTACTTCATAGGCTAGCATTAGATTTTTTAAAAATGAAACATAGACAATATACATAATAATTTTAACCTACCACCAGCTTTAAGAAATAAAAACTTACATAGATTTGAAGACCCCTCTTCTTTTCCCCAATAACCACGATCCTTATATCATTTCCATGCATGTTTTTATATTGTAATTATGTACCCATAAATAATATATGGTATTTTTTACATATTTAAAAATTTTATATAAACATTAATATGCTATACTCTGTAGCTTCCTTTTCTCTCTGCATTGTTTTTTCAATTTTTAAGTTACATTTATAGCTTTATTCACTTTTTTAAAACTATCATAGAACATTTCATTATATGCTTGAATATACCATTTTAATCCATTCTCTGTCAGTGGAAGTCCTATAATTTTGAATATTTCTGTGTACCTCTCACCTTCACATATCCCTTCCTCAACCTAAAAGTTAATCACTGTCCTGAAGTGTGTTAATATTTTTAATGGTTTAAATATACACATTCCTAAACCATATATTGAGTTTTACTATTTTTAAGGTGTATGTAAGTACAATCTTACTATGTTATTTAGTGACTAGCTTTTTTATTTTTTGTCAGTGTTATGATTTTGAGATTCATGTTGATGTATTTGGCAATAGTTACTTGTTCTCACTGTGTACATTATTCCATTGTTTGAATATATTACAATATATGAACCTTTAGGTTATATCTGACTTTTTACTATTATGGACAATATATAATTAAGATGTACATGTGTATTGAGTTTCTCTCAGGGATGTACCTAGTAATGAAATGACTGTGGTATGGGTAATGTATGTGCATCTTTATCATACATGCATGGATATTGATACGTAGTAATTTTATTACCATTTAATCATAAGAATTTTCTAATTTAAACCTTGAATTTAAAGCCTATTTTTAAAATGTCCAAATATATAGAATTTTGTTATGAACTTTTAATTGCTCTCTGATCAGGTAGCTAATTATGTCTGTGTCTTACTAACTCTTTGACACCTGTTGAGACTTTTGCTTTGTTGTCTAATGTTTGTGATCATGGTTTAGCCAGATTTAGTTAGTTTTTATAAATACTCTGCATGTGTTTGAAAATAATTTATTATCTAATTATAGGGTATATGAGTCTATACAAGGTGGGGCAAAAGTAGATTTACATTTGTGAATATGAAACACAATATATTCTTGTATTATTATTAATTATTGTATTAATTATTATATTAATTATTAATTAATATTGTATTAATTATTGTATTATTTTCCATATGAACAACTATAAACCTGCTTTTGCCCCACCCTTTATATACTTATTCATCTTTTTTCTATTAATTTATTTTTGTTCCAGATGTTTCTCCTTTTTTCTGCTGTAGACACCCTCCTCCCTATCTCGCTCCCCAGCAAGCATTGTTGTCTGTGTCCATTGATTACACATATATGCATATAAGTTATTTGGTTTATCTGTTCCCTCCCCCCGCCCCTCTCCCTGAGGTTTGTAAGTATGAATCATACTCTTTTCTGTCTCTCTGGGTCTGTTTTGTTCATCAGTTTTTTTGTTGTTGTTCATTATAGTCCACAAATAAGTAAGATTATGTGTATGCTTATTAATCTTAACTAATTTTACTAGTTATTTTGTCTGAGACAAGTATATTAAAATCTTTCTGTTATGTTTGTCAATTTGTCAGTTTCCCATAAATATAATCATTTTTGCTTTTTTGAGGCTTTGTTATTAGGTGCATACAGGTTTAGAATTATTTTATCTTCCTGGTAAAATTTTTTTAATGTTATATAATGATCCTCTTTTCTGTAATAATGCTCTTCGCCTAATGCCTACATTTTCTGACAGTGCGCTCCAACCAACTGAGCCACACTGGCCAGGGTATTTCCATTTTTTTAATTACCCAAATTAGTCTTTGTTATTGCTGCTATTACATTTCATTTTTATGCTAACTTTCATTAGTTATTTTCTGATACTGAAAGAGATTGTGAACTCCTTCATTAAACTGGTTTTCTCACTGTTTTCTCTTCAGATTTTCAAAAGAAACAACCAGACGATGATTCCGCTCCAAGTACAAGTAACAGCCAATCAGATTTGTTTTCTGAAGAGACCACCAGTGACAACAACAATACCTCGATAACCACGCCAACTCTTAGTCCCAGCCAGCAGCCGCTTCCGACAGAACTGAATGTAACTTCACCAAGTAAAGAGGAGTGTAAGTGCCCAGATCCTGTGAAATGGTAGAGAAATCAATACTATCATGAGTTTCTTGGTAATGCCTCATATCAGGAAAAAGATAGCGGCTTTGTAAATTTAAGATTAAGTGTTGACAAATTAGAGAAGAATTTTCATCTATTCCGTAGAGCTTAAGTTGATCTTAAAAGATAGCTTTTTGCCCTGGCTGGTTTTGTTCAGTGGTTAGAGCGTCAGCCCATGGACTGGAGAGACCTGGGTTCTGTTCCAACTAGGGGCATGTACCTCAGTTGTAGTTTTACCCCGGCCCTGGTTGGGGTCATGTGGGTGGTAACCAGTCGATATGTCTCTCTCATATTGATGTTTCTCTCTCTCTCTTCCTCCATCTCTCCCTCCTGCTCTAGCTGAAGCTAAATGCAAAAATGTCCTCGGATGAGGATAAAAAAGAAAAAATTAAAAAGATAGCTTTTTATTATAAATGTCAAGTTACAAAAGATTTTGAACCAGTCTAGGCCAGTGATTCTCAGCCCTGGCTGCACATTAGAATCCACTGGGAATTTTTTTAACAATTTTTAATCTTCAACAACATTCCTTAAAGTCTGATTTAATTGGTCTGGATGGAGGCCCAGAAATCTGCTGTTTTTAACTCTGCAGAGGATTCTAAAGTGCAGCAAGTGTTGAAAAGCACCAGTCTAGGGAACTTTGCCCCTGATTTAGGAGCCTTGGATTGAAACCTTACTTCTGTCACTAACTGGGCCTTGAATGTTTCTAGGCAATTAGCTAAGATAATTCATAGAACATAGGTATTTGAAGGGAGGAGGAGAAATGGTTTTTTTACTCTTCTGTAAGTTCTTAGTGATAGAATACCATTATCATATATTTGATTTGGAAATCCATTGTCCACTTAATCTTTATAATGCTATAACCATCTCCTTTAGGGCACAACTAGAACTGATAGTGTGTTGAAGATTATAGGAATGTTATGTCAGTAGTTTTTGTTTTTTAAAAGCTTTAGTTAACAGATTGAAATTTGGTATTTTAAATTTAATGAATATCTAGAAGTCCTTGGAATAGTCTGTCTACTAACTTTGAAAAGATTATCAGAGAACAAATATTTATCTAAACTTATCATACCCATGGTACTAGGTAACATTGAGAATATAAAAGTAGAGAAGGCCATAGTCCCTGTCCTCAAAGAATTTATTTAGCAGGAAGAATTAAATATATTTGTTATTAAAGACAGTAACTGTAAAAGGAGAGTATTGATTTACTGGAGAAAGTGATACTGAAAACATTCTAGATAGAGTCAAATGAGAAGTAGAGAAAAGCTACATGGAGTTCTGCAATGGCAGTGACTCCTTAACAGGGCTGGAAAGGTAGATTATGGCCAAGTCACAGAGGCTTGAATGCTCAGCTTAGATACTGCATATTGAACAATACTTAACATTTTTGAGCAGAGAAAGCAATATTATAGTTCTTTTGGAGAAATAACCTGGCAGTATTGAAAACGGGAAGGATTGTACTAGAATAATATTATAGAGAGAGACTTTTTAAATACGGTAACTTTTTCATTTAAAGACTTAGAGGAAGGTGTAGAAATCATTTAAGAGGAGAAAAAAAAAGATGAAAATGGTAGTGGCAATGTTCAGTTAATAGATTTTGTTTTGTTTTAAAAATCTATTTGGGGTCATGTACTTATTTGAGGAGCTAATGAAAGCAATGGCCCGTTGAGTCAGAAAAATACACACCATTCTTTTATACCCAATTTTGAATAAAAAATATTTTTTTATCCTCACCTAAGGACATTTTTCCATTTTTTGTTGAGATAGAGTGGGAGGGAGAGAGAGAGGGAGAAACATCGACGTGAAAGGGACACATCGAGTGGTTGCCACCCGCACAACCCAACCAGGGCTGGGGACAAACTGCAACCAAGGTACCTGCCCTTAGCGGGAACCAAACCCCCGGTCTCTCTGGACCACAGGCCGACGCTCTAACCGCTGAGGCAAACCGACCAGGGCTGAATAAAATATTTTTAAAGCTCATGATGACCATTAGACTAAGAACTCCTTGTCTGTGGGAAGGGTTGAAGCTGGTCAGGATCTCATCTGATGAAACCTATCTGATTGGACCATACACACACCAGTGTCAGGCCACAACAAACCAACTTCAGCAGCCAAAATGCATGTGAGACTGAGATAACAATCGCTACCATTTATTGAGTGCTTTATATACAAGACATTGTACTGTATGTTTTGCATATTTTCTCTCTTATTCCTCATGACAATCAGTAAGGTAGTTACTATCATTATCCAATTCTATAGATAAGGAAACAGGCACAAAGAGATCAAGTAATTTGCTTGTGGTCATGAATTAGTACATACCAGAAACAGGATTCAAATTTAGGCATTGGGCTTCAGATGAAAATGTTAGCTCACATTTATGAAGTGTTTGCTACATTCTAAGCACCCTTCTAAGCTCTTTACACGTACTAACATTTTATTTTCACAATACCCTATGTGGTAGGTGTGCTTATTCTCTTCAGTAACTTATGCCCAAAGTTACAGAGCTGCTGCTTTGCAGTGTAGTTCACATTCTAACCCACTTATTTGTCTTCAGAGTCTATGCTTTCAACCACCATAGCATATTGCCTCAACATTGTGAAAAAGCTATACAGACTGTAAACTAACAAGAGACATTTGGATTTGGTGATTGTGAAATTGATTACTTAAAATATTTCAGTGGTTTGTATATTCATTTAGCAGTCTTTGCTGAGAGTCTACTATGTGTTACCCACAAGGAGGTCACCTTTTCAAATACATATGCCTCTCCATGAGATTCTTGTTCTTTCAAACAGGTACATCAAAATTTTGGGGTGAAAGGAAGGCAGCATCAGGAGCAATGGTTTATCATTTGCAAAAACTTTCAGGTGGGTTTTACTACCTCACCTAGGTTGAAAACTGCTGGAGTGAGGAGATGTGTGCCTGGATTGTAGACGGGGATACAGGGATGAGGAAAGTAAGGAAGGTTTGTTAAAGCTGTCAGTGCTGTCAGGGTGGATGCATTATAAGTCAAAGTGATTGTCAAGTAGTAGTGAAGATGCAGGAGAGACTAGACAGCCTGATCCATTGACACCTTGAGAATTTCTTCAGAAGTTAACCTACCTAGGAGAAGAAAGATGGAGGAAGAAGCAGCAGAGGATTACTTATGTTGATCTTTTTGTGTCCTCAAGGGACCAGAACTTCTTAGTATTCTTCCTCTAAAGAGGTGTGGAGAAGTAGTAGGGTATGGGAAATGGGTTTGGGATTTCCAGTCCAAGTACTACATAATTTGTAAACTGTACAGTAGTTACAGATCCACTGTTATTGTGTTGAACTGGAAGTGCTGTGTCTTTGGGGCTTGTTGAAAGGTTTTACATTTTCCCCAGTAATTAAGGGAATAAGTATTACTTACATATGCTTTCTACTTCTGATTATTAAATGAATATGTGAACAGAAAGACACTAAGAGTCCGTACATTAATGCTGTTTTGAAAAGACTGCAGCTAGAGTAAGAACTATTGACAAGAGTGTGTAAAATACAGATTTTTACCCAAAAGAATTAAAACACCTGACTGAAGGTCAAATAGTAGATATCCAAGTGATATTTCTTTGTCTGAACACACATACATCTCTTCTTCTACCATCTGTATGTCTGCAGAAGAGTTCATGGAATGTTAGCCATTAGAAACATTTTCAAAAAGTGTGGCCATTATACACTTTCAAAGTGTATAAACAAAATTCAAATAGGGACCAAAAGAATTGTCACAATATTTAAATGCTGTAATAATGGTAACAGCTGACTAAAGTACTCATCAAGGACTGTTTCAAATACTTTATCTGTATTAATCTCCTTTATCTTTATAATTATACTGTAAGGTGAGTACTGTTACCATATCTGTTTCACAGATGTGGAAATGGAGGCACAGGATGATTCACTGTCTTGCCCAAGATCATAGAACTGCTCTACTCTGTGGCACCACACCATAACTATCAGTCTGTCTCTGTAGTGATTTATACTATAAAGGACGTTACATGAAAATGAAAATTACAGAGGGAAGGGGTGTTGCACAGACACTTAAAAAGAACAAAATAACAGTTCTTTCTGTTTTTGCTTCTACCTATTTACTGTTGTCCTAATTTCATAGAGGAGATAAAGTGTGAATTTTTTAAGTCCCTATGTTTCTTGAGTCAACTATGGGCGATAATGTCAGGCTGTAGATAGAATACTGGAACAAATTGTCGTTTTGTTATTATTTTTTAATGATGGGCAGAGGACAAATTGAAAAAAAATGTTCCTTTCTGTATCTCTTCTATAAATGAATTTTCCTGTTGGCATGCTCTTAAAGGCCTAGGCATTGCTACTTATGACCTGTTTGTGGGCCGTACGATATGCTTGCCTGCCTGGATTTCTCCCCTCACCCCCAATTCCATTACATTTTGGATGGAAATTGAGGTGTTGGAGTGAGTTAACAAATCTGTTTCTTTTTAAGCAGGAGAGAAAGAAAACTGATACCTGTTTTACTAGGGAAGAGGAATGGCAAAAAATTATTTTTAAATATTCTGACTTCCTGATCCAGCAGTTAGAGAAGGCCCACCTCATATAGATCACTCTCCTAAGCTCTGTAGAGACACACACTAAGAAATAAACAGCAACCAACATACATAAAACTATCCTTTACAATAGGAGTTGGCAAACTACATACATGTAGCCCAAGGGCCAAATCCAGTTCAGCATCTGTTTTTGTATGCCCTACGAGCTAAGAATGATTTTAAATGATTGAAAAAAATCAAAAGTATACTGTGACATGAAAATTACATGAAATTCAAATTTCAGTGTTCCTAAATTTTTATTGGAACATAGCCATGTTCATTCATTTATGTATTTTCTGTGGCTGCTTCTGCTCGACAGCAGAATTGGGTAGTTGCTACAGAGACCCAGTGGTCCTTTATAGAAGTTTGCAAAACTGTTTTAGAAAGCATTTTGA